ATTTTATGTTCATGTCCAATATGTAGTCCATATAAATTCATTTATTTTTATACCTTACATTGAATTTTTATATTATTTCTCACTAAAAGGGAATGCAAAATGGTACAAATTTTACTCTTCATTGTTGTTAACACACTGGTAAAGAGAATGCATTGTTTCTTATCTATTTCGAACAAAAGAGGTGTATGGAAATACCCCTCCTCTCCCATTTTTTTGCATCCTTTTGTTGTTTCAATGGAAAAATGGAAATTTCGTATTCGTCTATATAAACTTCAATTTATTAATTTATATATTCTCCATTAACGTTTTAATTATTCGTGTGTCAAAATATTCAAAAACAGTAATAAATGTATTCAACGTTTTGATTCGAAGAAATGCACACTGTTTACAGTGGTAGATCTAGGTGGTTGATAGGGCCAGTTTGCCGCATATAAATTATCTCTTAACTCTGACCATTTCAAATTCCAATTCTATTACATTTTCGATACTTACTTAGTGGATTGCATACAATTATTGGTGATATGGAACGTAGACACAGAAAATGATGGCGACCAAGCCTGCGAGGTCGCTATAATTTTCTATGGCTGAGGTTTATATCACTTGCCCTGAGTCCTTATATCCACAAATTGACCGTTCAATGAAGTTCATAATAGCAAGCACGGGCTTTTTTGTAGTTACCTCGTGCAACTTTATGTTTGAAGTGGCGGATCAACGTTACAAGATATTTTTAAAGATACAACTGCGCTCACCCCAACGGTCACACCGTAAAACATATAAGTTATATTATATAATCACTCGAAGTAAATGAATTTACATAATCCTTACTAAACTGACTCGGCTCTCAGTACGTCGCAATGGTAAAAACATGCTTCTTATATAATGATATCACGTTTTATCACGTTTAACTTTGGTACAACCGAACGTTATGTCATGCAATATCATATTCCACGGACGCGCTTTAACGGCCACACAAAAAGGAGGAATATCACGCGACGTCCTTTCAGCCAATTCAACCTAAAAAATTAACCTTATATGATACTTTTCAGTCCTGGGTTCATCAGAATTTATTGTACCTGTGTCTTCATTACTGTTCGGCAAACAGGAGGAAACAACTCAAGTAGGGGGCGGGAAAGAATGCCTTAAAATTTTAGTGTTGCCCTTGTTTGATCAATGAGCTTTTGAAAAAGGGTTGTAAAACATTGTTTTTCTTTAGAGGAGAACAAAACAATATTTATATTGCAAATTCTTAAATTTCAGATATGCCTGTGATCAGAATATCGTTGTACTTATATTATATCGTTGTACTTATATTAATCAAAGTTATGATCTTCATATGAAACTCAAGAACTTAAAACATTATCTATCTTTTCTTCCCTTTTTATTATTGATTGATTGTCAATTGTTTTACATCCCTCTCGAGAATTTTTCACTCATATGGTGACGTCACTGTATGCCGGTGAAGGGCTTCATTTTTTTTTACCTTTACTCGGCACTCTGGGCCATTGAGCAGTGAGGGATCTTTATCGTGCCAACGCCTGCCGCTGACACGGGGCCTCGGTTTTTGAAGGTCTCATCTGAAGGTCTCGCAGCTTTCATTTAAAAGTGCCGAGGCGAAGGAACAGTTGCTACCCATTTTAACGATTAGGTCAGTCGCGACCGAGATACGAACTCACGACCTTCCGATCACGGAGCGAGCGCTCTACCGACTGAGCTATCGTGAACGGTTCCCTTTTTATGAAGGGATGGGTGAGTTTTAAATCAAAAGCGCAAAAAAAATACGATTTGGTATTTTAAAGAAACTATAACAAGCCCCTCATCCCATTTTCTTTTAATTACGTAGAGATCGACTCGCTCGTCATTTTGTTGTTTTATATATACACTCTTGCGCCCGAGGGTGAAAACCCTACCCAGACCTGATAATCATATCAAAGGTATAAAAATCTTAAAGTTCCAAGCAACGTTTTATTTGATCTCCATAGATTCATCAGATTGAGAGAAATAACACCAGAATTCACTGCTTATAATGCTTTATAAATGTCATTAGTTAGTTTCAGAAAAAAAGTAATGTTTTGATTCACAGCACCCCCCTCCCCCTTAAAAATAAATAAACATTGCAATTACAAGGCAAACATTTTTAAACTTATTACAGCATGTTCTGATATTTAGATGTTTATCAAATTATAGAAATAACCGAATTGGAATTACTTCTAACTGTGCATTAATGTGGGCAATTGATAGGTACATTCGATTCCTTTATAGATGGAAATCAGGTGCATAAAAATCTTACTTAAGACATGTGACACTATACAATTATCTACTGTTTAGAAGGGAGACATCACCAATTATCAGATCTGAGTAGGGTTGTAACCCGAGGGCGCTTGCGACAAGAACTTATTAGATATTGAACAAAGAAGCATGGTGTATAATCAGACGAGCTATTAATTCTATGTATTTATTGTATTGATGAAATAAATGACACAACATTTCTACATAAATTTCAGGAAATAAAAAAAGAAATAAACTTACCAAAGTTTAACGAGACAATAGAAAATCATTCCTGACATTTTTGTAGGTCACCTGAGTAAACTCAGGTGACCTATTGCTATCCGTTTTCATCCGTCGTCGTCCGTCGTGCGTCGTCCGTCCTGTGTTAAAATTGGAACATTTTCAGTTTCTTCTCTGCAACCACTCAACCAATTTAAACCAAATTTGGTACAAATCATCTATGGGTGAAGGGGAACAAAAATTGTGATTTTCATGATCCCTACCCCTTGGGGCCTGAGGGGTTGGGCCAAAACCTCAAAATTAATGCAATCTTTAAAAATCTTCTTCTTTACTCTTGGACATCAAGCAGTCAAAGTGTTTGCATGGTTGTAATCAGCATGGAGTCCTTTACCAAAATTATGAAATTCATGGACCTGGGGTCAGGCGTTCTTGTGCTAGGGTGGGGCTAACTAAGTATAAAGTGAAAATGCATTAAATCTTTGAAAATCTTCTTCTCTGCTCCTGGGTATTTAATAAACTAACTAAGTATTTAGATATGATAAGCAGGAGTGCCTCTACTAAAATTGAGAATTTTATGGCCCCAGGGTCAGGGGTTATGATGTTAGGGTGGAGCTCTATTGATTATATATTGAAAATACATGAATTCTTTGAAAATCTTCTTCTCTGCACCTAGGTATTATATAAACTAACTAAGTATGTAGTTATGATGAGCAAGAGTGCCTCTTCTGAAATTATGAATTGTATGGCCCTAGGATCAGGGGTTCTGGTGTAAGGGCGGGGCTCTATTGTTTATATAGTGAAAATACATGAATTCTTTGAAAATCTTCATCTCTGCTTCTAGATATTAAATAAATTAACTAAGTACATAGTTATGATGAGCAAAAGTGCTTCACTAAAACTTTGAATTTGATGGCCACAGGATCAGGAGTTCTGGTGATACGACAGGGCTCTATTGATTATATAGTGAAAATACATGAATTCTTTGAAAAAATTTTTCTCTGCTCCTGAGTATTAAGCAGATGAACTACCTATATGGTTATGATGAGCAAGGGCCCAAATCTTCCAAAATTGTGAATTTCAAGGCCCCAGGGTCAGGGGTACCATAGAAGGGGGGGGGGCTGTACCCAGGTGGAATAAGGAAGCATACAAAATTTTCTACCTTGGCTAAATCAGTGCTGCATTATGACGTCATAGTTGGCAAGATGACGTCAATTTTAGAAATTAAGTTTTCGTAATATTGGTATTTAGCTATGTAATTTAACTCTAGAAAATGATTAGAAACATTAACATTAACAAAAATAAAATTTGTTTATCTTGTTATGCTGTAGCAGTCATTATGATTGAAATCTACCATCGATGACGTCATATGTGTACATCAAGTAACTTGGAAATTGATGATGTCGTGTAAAGAGAATTTGGCTAAGACGGCAAAGATACGTAAAATGGAGTTTAAAAGGAAATATCGGAAATATTGTGTTAAATTCATATGGAGTTCAATTAATTCAACAGGTACGCTAAGAACAAAGTACGTTTTGTGGCGAATTTCGCCGATTCTGAAAAAATATTGACATTTATTATACGTAAAGTTTAGAATTTTATCTTTCTAAGAATGCATAATTTACTGATATCTGACCACGTGGCATGTACTGGACATTATTTTAAAAAGTGGGTTTTTATTACCGTAACGTTAGTTCTGACGTTGACGTCCGTTAATCTGGACGACGTCAATGACGTTATATCTCATTTGCCTCATATAAAAACCAAACATATAAACGATTGTAGAGTTTTTTGTACATACAAGTATACAGAAAAAGAAAGGAACATGCAATAAAGTTACATGAAATAGTTTTTTTCCACTTTGAAAGTATGCCAAATTTTTATAGAATTTACTACACGCAATGTAATGCAACCTAAACTATTTCAACTGGTCTCGCTATTTTTTTCCTCAATCATGTCGCCGTATACTAATGTACTTCTTGTACCGACATACTGTAGAAGTACTTTTTTCCGCGTGGTATTAATTTACGCTATGTACGCGGTCACAAATTTTCCGCGGAAATTTGTCCCATCGAAATTAATATTAATATAAGGTATATATAGAGCGTCTTAAGATATCAGCGCAATTTTCTACCAGCGGATTGAACAGAAATAGAGATTCCGCAGAATTATGACCCCGTGGAAAAAAGTACGTCTACAGTACCCTTGATATAAAAAAAAATATTTCCCCTTGAAAATCCTAGTTAAAATAATTTTCCACTCGATATAGTTTTCTCATTTCAGAGGATTAAATCTATTCGTATGAACAACTGATATGCATATTTACCTTATAATTTCCCCCTTCTGCTGATTAGGTAAAACAACGAAAATTCAAAGTGAGGAAAATGTAGAGGATATTTAATAATGACATATGCAATTCTTAAAATCAATTCATGTTTATAAAAAAGGAACTTTTATCACAGAAAATATAAATAACAAAACTTCAAAGCAGTCAACATTCATTCCTCCGTCGGACTCTCTGCACCACTGTCCGATTCATCAACAACACGTGCAGCGTCTTCAAGGTGATCCGCCCAGTTTCGAACGCCTTTCAAAGGTTCAGACTGGTGACGCGCAAAGGAAAGATACCAAAGCACGCTGGTAATGTGTGCACAACACCCTACAACACGGGACCCAGCCTTACATTTACAGTACCACGATATAATGACTCCTTCACTGTGGCGAATCCAACAAAGGTATTTTTTGGCCGACACGTGACGACTTTGTATTTTTGCCCCAATGATGTTTGGTTTATCTTCTGCAATAAGAATATCATACGCACCGTCTTCTTGGAAATGTTCATGCGTGTATGCTCTGGCCATCTTGACCTGATAGGTTCCTAATGGGATATTTCGAATCTCATCCTCTGACAGAATAGGGAAATCTAAGGCAACACTATCTGCCTCAAGGGTTTTCCACTGGGAAGGCCTCCTGTCCCAACCCTCGCTTTCCACGAGCTCTCTGAGCTCATTTCCCTTCTGTGACAAATGACGCATTTTCAATGCGATTGCTTGATCGTCGTCGGTTCCAGTACTCAATGGAGGACAATATCTGTTGGAAATTGCAGCTACTATACGCACATAATCTGCTATGAATGGAATCTGATTATTGGATACTGTGCGGTCAAGGTATTTCCAACGCTTTATTCGTCCGTTGGCGGACTCCACAACCCAACGCACCTTAAAAGATATGAACATTTTTTTTTGCAAAAAGAATACCACTTCAGAAATAAAACTTAAATTGACTTTCACATAAAAAATTCTAAACGTATGATCAAATCAAAAAGATACCTTCGTAATCAATCTGGAACTGTTAGACTCCTCAGTGGAGTGTTGCTTTGCTCCTTTCAGAAAACTTGGCATCTCCATTCTAATCCCGATGTCCGCCAGAATGTCCGCGCTGTCTCTGAAGCCACGGTCGACTATAAATGTGTCTCCGTCCTGTAACCAATTTCTCATCTCTTCAGCATTTCTTTCTATCATGTGGGTTAGAATACCTGCGTCATTGTTTTTGGAATCCGCCAGATATGGTCCTAGGACTGACACAATGTATCCGGATGTCGTGACAACCATCATGGGCTTTACAAGAGGGCGATGTTTATGTAGGCTATAGGAACGTCTGGAAAAGGTGAAATTGTTAGACTTCTGGATGTATATGTAGGTTCCGTCCAACACTAGCAAGGCTGGGGTTTCTGTCATACCAGGCGAAAACAATTCCTGTGCTAGAGGTCTCGTATGCTTTTGTATGACGTCGTCTCGAGAAATATGGCCAAATCCCAGGTTATGTGGCACAAAGTCCTTCATGAGGGAGCGTCTCGCTGAGGAAACAGCTCTGCGTACCTTAAAAAAAATAGAAAGATTTATTCACGGAACTTGTTTTTAATTAAACTTTTAAAATGTTTAAAAGATTATTATCTTCTTACAAGAACAATTAAACACCATGCAGTGATCAGTGTTTAAGCGTCATCTAGCGTACCTGCCACTTTTTCATATTGAAAAGGGTAGCCAGCATTTTGTTGTCTAGAGCACATCGCAGTTTCATCAGCAAAATGGCAACACAGGTGCGGATGCTTCTGGATTTGGATGTCTTAATATCCTCCACATTAAGCATCAGATCATCGAACTGCGCCCGTGTGAGTCCTGTGAGGTTGCGATAATCCTCGTCAGAAAGAGAGGTCTCGCTATCGAAATCCAGACGAGTGGATGCATTTTTCTTCGCATAGTTTCTTAAACTGTCAAGAAGATTCCTTAAATTATCATTACTGAGAGAGGTACATTTTCTAACTCTCTCGGAAACTCCGTAGCTCAACGCCTCTGATGTCAAGTGTCCGCCATAAATATGAGAAGGACAACATCTGGAACCCTCTTTCATGAACACACCAAGTTGTACAAACATCTCAAGTCGGGCCTGTTCTGGAATGACAACAAGTTTACGTGGTTTCTTTTCACATATTCCACAAGCGTCATGCCGATATCCAGTGGACAGAATTGGTAGTGTCACAGGATCAAGTGGAGCAGCATTTTCCTTGTCTTCAGTATTATGGACTTCTGGTATTTTGGAGCCTTGTTTGAGGGAGAAGTAGTAGAGTTGCCTGCATTTGTTACACACTACGTCATTCTCGCTCAAGTCTTTCACAAATCTCTTTGACAAAAATTTTCGAAGAGCCTGATTTCCATAAAGCGGTCTTCGTTCACTGGTCTTGATACGCTTACAGCAGCCTATACACGAATATGGCTTATACTTGGAGGTGGATGACATTTTACAGAACCTAGAAAAATAATTTTCAAAGGTTTTATTATTCTGTACGTTTGCTTGTTAGTTTTCCTCAATATATAACGTAATAATCAATCAAGTCTTCTAATTGTTAAAGCAAGCAGAATTAATAAGTTAAGCTGCATAGTGTTTAATTTTCCACTCTGCGATTTAAAAATGTCTCATAAAGATGAAGGCAAAAGCAGGAAATGTCTGATATATTTAATATTTATTTACCTATCTTAAATAAAAAGTCAAAGAATTTCAAAAATATACATCGAACAGTTCCGTATTTTTCTACATTCCCGTATAATAAACATGCGTATAAATGAATATTTTCTATAAAGACATTTTGTTAGTTTCTTATAGATGTACTTATGATTTGGGCATTGTTTAAATATTTAAATTGATGTACTGGGAATTTATAATTGAAAAGTAATTGCGTTATTTGATCTTTGGAACGTATTTTCAATTTCTCAAACTTGACATCTCTCTCTCTCTCTCTCTCTCTCTCTCTCTCTCTCTCTCTCTCTCTCTCTCTCTCTCTCTCTCTCTCTCTCTCTCTCTCCATCCCACGGTATCAATGCTATTAGCTCATAATTGTTATCAGGTTTTGGTCAGATCTTAGATTGGGGATTCTTTGAATCTGTTTCGCTTACTGAAATTGTTACCTGTGTTATCAATTAATTTCATTGAGCTATACCCAATTTTACTTCAGTCTTGAAGCTTTTTTCATTGGTTCATTTATGAAATGTGGTGGGAGTTGTCAAAGATGAGACGTGCGTAAGTTTGTCTGTAATTCACTCTCACTTTTGGAAATGTATTTTTTTTTATTTAATTGTACTTTTCGACTTGAAGAAATTCTAAACTTTAACCAGGAATTATTTCAACAACGTGTTTATCATTTCAAAACAATATAATTATTACACGTAACCCCCCACCCCCACCTTCGCTGGATGCAAATCGCCGTTGCATTTCATTCCCGGAAATATGCATAGCATTTCCGACATTTTTTGTTTTCGTTTCCGGCATAATTCTGTTTTCATTTCTGGAATTGACCTGTGCGGCAATTCAATGTTTCTAAGTAAGTGAAAATGGAATTTTAAAAGGATTTATTACAAAAGATCTACACATATATGCATACATGTAACACTAAGTCTAGGTAAATGAGTTCAATGAGCATAAACTTTTTCACTACATTTAAAGTGCACTAAATTAAATGTCAGTGACAACACCACACTTATATCCAAGTGATTGACAGATTAACAAAACTCAGATAATTGATTTCAAAGATTTGTTAATGACTTTTTTTCTTTGAAATTTTCATAAGTAAAGTATTCAGATCTGTTAATAAAAGTACTGCATATGTATTTATAAAATGTCGGAAATGAAAACAGCGGTTTAGAATCCACAGGTAAAAGTCGGGTCGCCTAGGTTGTAAACAAAAACGCGAGTTATATCCCCCAAAACTGACATTCTTTTCTCAGTATATTTTTCATTAGAAAATATAAAGGTTACATCTGGCCCATTGAACTAGTCACTCTGATATATTTTAATTTAATCTTTATTGAAACATACATAAAAATGCACCAGGTCATCAAAAAAGACGTTACGTTGATACCCCCACCTTTTTCGTCTCTCGCACTTAGCTTTCACCACTATTTTTAACTTCAATGTATGGAACATTAGTGTAAACATGTCCAATGATTTGTTTTACTTTAATTTGGACGTGATTTAAACTACAGAATGACAAACTGATATTCTAACTGGTGGAATATGTTCGACCTTACCAATTAAAATCGAGATCACCATTTGATATAATTATAGTATCCATATGACAGCATACATGTAGGCGTCGGAACCGGGGGGGGGGGCTGGGGGGGGGCTTAGCCCCCCCCCCCCCACTTTTTTCCCAATATATACTTAGTATAGACATTGAACATATCTTCGTAAGTTTAGCCCCCCACTTTCCATAGATACGTCTTAGTATAGGTTAAAATTGGTAAAAGTGTTGGTGTTTGGAAGAAAATGTTTTGTTACTGGACTTCGAACCTTGCCCCCCCCCCCCCCCCCCCCCCCCCCCGAAATAGGATTTTGGTGTTTGGGAAATAGACATTTCCTTTTTTTTTTTTTTTTGCTTGTCAGGTTTTTTTGGAGGAACAAAAAAAATTTTCTTACACTTAGCCCCACCCCCCACTTTCAATTTGCTTCCGACGCCAATGGACAGTGCATATGCTTTTAAATAATTTTTGTAGATAATAGAGTGATACCTGATTACAAGACAACATCATTGTTTTGTGATAATCATTTTTATTTACATATATGTAATATTGTATCCATTTCATGCATTGTACATGTAACTCATGCAGTCATGGTATTATATTTTATACTACCGTGTACATACCGTCATTTCATGTACTTTAGTTATTTGTAATTTTTTCTGCTTTTGGATGCAAGAAAACAGAATAAATTATATTCGAAAGAAATGTATTATATCATTTTCGACGTTTTCGATTGGTAAAATGAACAAAATAATGCATGGAGTAATGGATATCGCAAATACAAAGCGCACTTGGACCTGCGGTGCAATTTCTACCACGGCAATGGTTCATTCTCTATTTTCAATAATTTCTTAACGTACTTTAAAAATTCAAACAAATAAAATATACCACAAATATCATCTTGATTCTTACCTTTATTGCGCAGATTTGGATTTCACCCTTTATTTATAAATGTTCTTTGCCTTTACATCAACATGCAGTTCTTCAACACTGGTCTCCAACGTAAATATTGTGTAAAAGCATGTACTCTTATGTTGCATATATATTTCCGGACTAATTGTTTTTAAAAAATTCATACTGTTCCCACGCATTAACCGATACGAATTTGATAATGATAGGAGGTTTTGAACTTATTATTTTAAATACAAAATATAAAAGTGGTTAATGCTTGGGAAGATATTTAATTCAATTAAAATTTCTTGAATTTACATCAAAAACTAACGGATTTCGTCAAGCGGCTGGTGTTTGGCGTGGTTTTGTGACGTCATAATTAAGTATTACGTCATTTTCATTCTAGTATATATTAGCTTTGTTCCTAATGTAAATAAAACATAATAGATGAATACAAAATATTGCAGTTGAAAAATCGTTAAATATCTCGGCGAAATGTGGTCAAAAACGTACTTTGTTCTTTATTTTTATCGATTATATTCTCTTTCGAAGACAGTCAGCTATATAACGTATCCCGGTCGGCCCATCGTCTGTCATTCTTGACCAAAAAATGCAACAGAACAACAATAAGCTGGATATTTCAAAACATACGATTTGTAAATATTGAAAGTTTGTGTTAAAACAAACTTGGAAAGTGCTGCAAGAATCCCGAGTTTAGCATGGTTTTACGAAAAATTTCTATTCATATGTATAATATTCAAAACAAAGGGTAGGGTTTCGTGCGATTGTGTGGAATAAATATTTTAGGGACAAGATAGTGGGATTCTAGCAGCACTTTTTAGATAAAATAGATATTTTCAGCTATATTACATACTCAAAGAAATTATCAAACTCCAGGGGTATTGTTGTTCTGTAAGCCTTTTTATTAAGGAAAATTTTGCTTTTAATAGAAGTCACGTGATGCCGTGGCGGTGATACACGTCTTTGCCTTAGACACGCTTTTATCTGTATGCAATAGTAAATAACAGTTTACGTTTATCAGTGGTTTTGGTAATTTATTAAATAAATTTTCTTCAAAAGTCTAAATTTCCCGAGAAATTACTTATATGCTTCCTTAACATACGTGCGTACTTAAAATATGCTAAAAATGAATGAATTGTTTGCCTTTTCAAAAATTGACTTGTGCAATGTGTGGATCTAGGCCTAAGGTTCATGTGTGGTGGGGGCACTACTGATTATTGCTTCAAAAATATTACTGATTAGTTGAAATGCATTTTTTGTTCCCCTACCCTGCCTATGGGTATTAAGTAACCAAACTAAGCAACTGCTAAGTGTATAGTTATGATGATCAATGGTGCCTCCTTCAAAATTGTGAATGCCATTGCATCTGGCTTAAAACATGAATCAAATTCAATCACTGGAAAGTTGTTGCATAATGCTCAGGAGACATATTAGGCCTGTTGGCCTCTTGTTTGCATTATATTTATAATTAGGTCATGTCAGTTATATTATAAGATACAAGCCGGTTCCAAAGTTGAAGTCAATAGCACTGTAGCTTTTCCAAGACTGGTTTTAAGGAGACAAGAAATTCCCACTGATTCTTTGTCCAAAAAACAGCCTTTTGTCGGAAATGTTTTCCTTCAAACAAGACAAGCAATCACTCGGTATATTTGCTTTGGGTCCAAGATACCTAGCATAAAACAGATTGTTAGACTGCAAACATCTAAGCATTTAATCTCTCACGAGATACATTATATTGTACTTTTATCTTTAGACGATGGTTTGTTAAATGACAAGCAAAAGGGCATAGTTTTCTGTGTAAAAATAAAGACATTTTTTCAGATATGACCCAACACGTTTTGAAAAAATTGCAAGTTAGTACCGGTAATATTAAGATTTTTATGTCTCCGTAATAGAAGACTCGTAGGTATTTACTTTTTGCCCTGTCCCAGTGTCTGTGTTGGTTTGCCCGCAAAATCTTTTACCTTGTCCATATATTTTGATTTTGATTGTTTGGAGCTGTGGCTTTCATCCTTTACCCTTCATGCTTGTGACCAGGTCTTTCTTTGGACACCAATAAATTTGACATCTTAACCTTGGAGTTTTGTAAAAATATAAAATTTCAAACTTGGCCATAATTTGAAACTGTTGGTTCATATTTCCCTTTATTCCTTGTGACAAGTCCTTTCCAAGGATATGATTATTTGTAACCTTTTGACCTCGACGTTCGGATTTGACCAACTTTTAAAAAATCTTTAACCTAGTACATAAATTTTAAAGTGAAAGCACTAATGTCTTTTATGTGAATTCCTAACTTTTGCAGACAATCAGACA